CAAAATCATTAGTAACATGACTTGGTTGTTTTTTAAGATTTGGGATTTTCTTATGTGAATTAAATAGTTATCAGGCCAGGCCTAGTTTCAGGACAAATTTAATCTCAGTGTTTTGAAAATTGTGATCAGTCAACACTTTGCCCCTTTGAATATCAAAAAGAAATCAAGGATATTCCTATTTAATGAAATGTTCAAAACTGCATACTTTTCGCTGATGCCTCCGTTAATATTTTCTCAAATGGATCATGTACTCTGTTAACAAACATATCTGAAAATCACACGAAATTACAACAAAATCGTATTTGGGGATTTTCATCTTTCAATTAACTAAACAACCTGATGGATTGTTAAACGAATAATGAGAAATCCGAAATCTGATTATATTGGTATCTTATCAGTTTTGACCATGCGAGGAGATATGGACAAAGATAAAAAAATGTGTGGCCTACACGCAGTTGGCGATATAAATAGAAACTCTGTGAGGTCACGATTGGATGGTGTCTATATCCAGTGGTTTTATTTCATGCATTATGACATCGACATTGTTATGCTTGATAATGACGGCTTTCATGGTAAGTTGAAACACGATTACAGTGAAAGGCGATAAACAACAATGATTAGCCTGGGTGAAAACACATTACGCTACCTAATGACCTTAACCATTCATGTTACCACAAAGCCTATGATCTAGTGATACACATATCTCCAGTGCGTAATGGAATTCCAAATCCTGATTGGATAAGCGTCAGAATTTGGTTTCTGGTAGCAATATCGGGATGTCAATACTATATTTAGTAATTCTGCTGTAAGCAGGTCTTTCATCAGGAAACAGATATGATAGCTTCAAATATTGCTAGTGCAATCTAATTCTGATTGTTGTATGTTCATATAAATGCATTGTATAAAGGTACATAAAGGTTAATGAATTTGAAAGTGTCACCATGAATCTCTGTTTGACATTATTTTATTCCTCAAACAAATCTAAGAAATTTAACAACCTAACTGAAAGTACTAACAGTTTTCTATCTTAACAGATAACATGAAACAAGAAGTGCACTGAACTAAAATAACAATGTCCATGACTCTTGCAAAAACAATTTTATGTCTGTAACCAAATTAAATAACTCTCTCTGAATAACATATATCTGTCAAGGGATTTACATTATTCCTATAGCTAAGCTTATATGTAGACAGCTCAAGAAACATTTTAGCAACCTATCTTTATATATATGATAAGAACTCCTCAGTTTAATCAGAACAGTATTAGGGTTATGGTTAGTTACATTTTACCGTCTATCAAAGGCCGAGCTGCCACGCGATGTTTCTGTCGAAATCCTCTTATCATTCATTAACTATCTAGAATAAACATCAAATGATATGTACCAGTGTTTTTTTCTTAATAACAAATATAAAATCGCCCATCCTATCCTATAACACAAATCACGCGTTATCGTATATCTCCTTGACATCGGGATAAAAAACTTCCATAAACAGTATTATTGAAGTAAACCCACAACGTTTCATTCATTTGCACAGAGAGACGAAATTGGGCTTGTTAAAGGTTTTAACACAACAGGAAGTATAGGAATTGTATATTGTTCACAATATTATCAAAGCTACTTCAGTATTGGAATGTGAAGGATACACAGAAAAAATGTAAAATCTAAGCAGATCTGAGAAATTTGAAAGAAACTTATGTTTAGTTTGATTTTTGTATGGCAATGAAATACATGCATTTGAATAGACCCAACTATATCAATACTTGGTCTTAATTGAGCAATCAATCATTAAGTCACAGAAACAACAAAACAATTTCTCAGAAAGAGGAGTGATCACATTATTTCAATAAACAGAAATATTTTCATTATGACAGCCTTAGCTAATTGATGAAATTCCACTGATGTTTTCAAGGCAATACGAACTTAACAATGTCCAGTACACCGTTTATAAAGTTTGAACGGGAAGTGTCTCGAATTCAACTTCTAACTCTTATAATAATCACATATTACGTAAATACAATCTGACTAAATTGCATGATAGCTTTTTCTATAACATCTTTTGTATCAATTTAACACCTTGAAGAACAGCATAACCTTGACCATGTTTTACTTCAGATACATCACGATTTGTTCCCCCATAACGTCATTCAATACATAGACGATAGTCTATGTGACCAGAGTATATCAGTATGGTGCTGTGCCCGTTTCGTTATGGTGCTGTGAGGTCACTTGGTGCATAAATGTAGCCACTATTCTAATAATATTATTGTTTTCCTCTTTACGTTTGCAACGCTGGAATACGTGCTCAATGCTTTGGCAATAGGATTGGCGGATCTTCTGGGGTTGTACTCTACAGTAGACCGTTGCTAAAGACCATGCAAACCACTCTGATCTATAGACAGGAGAAGTTCCATCAGCTAATGACCCTAAGGTTAAACACTAACCATAAATTCTACACATTTATCTATCTCCATGGAAAATTATTGCTCCTTGGACGTCAAGCATGGCGAAAGATTGCGTAGATCTCAAGACGGTACTGCAGGATTTATTGTCGATAAATATATATTGCTGCTCAAGCATCTTTGCAAAACGCTGCGTTAAGGAGATTTAATGCGTCTTGTTTGTTTTTCATGCATTGGTTTTCATTTCAGAACTCATCTAGTTTATACTAAATAACAAAGAAAATGCAAACATGTTAACAGGGCCAAAATTGAACAATAAAAAAAATTACAAGGAAATTTCTGAAAAAAAGTAGAATACGAACAAGTGTTCCGCAAGAGTAATCGACTCCTGCTTCATCAGCGATACCCGATATATAGATTTTGGTCAATCTAAGAAAGTAATGTCACGTTCTGAAATGATAACAAGTTCAACGACAACCAATCTACCAGGCAAGAGCGTGAAACACATCAATTCACACATGGAATTGTGGTAGTTTCAATGAGATAAGTATGACGACCGTAAAACTTTCCCAAAAACTTCATTAGGCTGGATCTGATTTTGTGAAATGCATGGATGATTTGCAAAGTCAATTTGTTCAAATAAAATATCTTTAAGTTTACAATAAATAAATACAATAAAAGAACAAAATGTGATAATTGGGAGAACAAATAATCAAACTATCGGTAAACTGTAAGAAACATACTCTTAAAATCTACCCACAAACTGAAAGAATGGCTAAGTGGGCGAATCGTAAAACGCTTTGGATGAACCACTTTGTGTGACATCCATGGCGTTTGGATCAGAGGCTTAACTTCAATTTTGATGTCGAGCATTATTTTCAAACCGATTCCTCAATAGCAACAATTTTCAATGTTGAATAACAAAAAAATCCATTCAGTCATTTTTCTCTTGCTCTATTCGGTTGTGATATTAACTACAGTCAAACTAGATTTTGTTATGTGCTCAGTTTTGGAAACTGTTTAGAGAAATCCCATCAGGACAAGAGGCCTATAGCGCTCAGCTATATTTCAGTTATCACATCAAACACATTGTATATTCGAAATCACTTAAAGAAAGAAGGAGTTCAAATTTTTACAAATACATCCAAAAGACCTAGAGACTAAATTTGGTGAAATTTCTTCCAATGTAATGGCAGGACACAAACATGAAGTATTAACCATTATTTCCCTCACTGAGACCCGTCCCTCTCTTTGAAAAATCACTCCTATCCATGCAAGGACGTTTCAGATCAAATTAGATGAAAGTACTTTTGATTTTACAAAAAAAAAAAAAAAAAAAAAAATCCCAAAAAAAACAAAAAAAAAAAAAAAAGGTTTGCCATGTTGACCTCTTTCTCCATCCCATCCCAAAGACCGAACATATAACATTAAGGTATTTTTGTGAAAGATGCTTAAAAACAAATTTGGACCAGGATCCTGAGTGAATCAGGAAAAACGAAAACATCAAGTGCTTTGTATTATCTATTTTCATTATATTTTTCTGGTTAGGAACAAGTCAAGATCGGTATATGCCATGAAACTGGAACTTTATATGAAACCTGTGTCCGGCGATTGAAAATGTCAGGGCAACCATAATTGATATCAAATCTTTCGAAAAATTAACGGCTTGCATGACAAAATGTCTCGTTGTCATTTGTAACATAAGCCGGATATGCAATCAGAAACGACTGTAATGGATATAATTATCATCCTTGAAATTTGCTGAAGCTTGTGCCAGCTTGTGGCAACACACATTGTCATTTATAAATGTGTTATTGGTTATTGAATTTCAATCGATGTCGTCAGTCTCACATCACCTTTCATCATTATCTTATTATTATTATTATTATTATCATTTTACAGTCTTCGACTGGATACGTTCATTCAGTTCCCTTAGACTCGGATTTCCTAGAAGAGATGTACTCATGCAATCCACCCTGTCTTCCTGACGAGTGTTGTATCCATGAATGGACACCTGACAACTCGATTGGTAAGCGATTATCCAACTTACTGTTCCGAACGGACAACAAACGATCTTTATACACACACTGTGAGCCGTTGAAATCCGAAGGGTCTACGTGCGTGGTACAGAAAGACATAGAAATATGCCCATGCGGCCGAAATCTGGTTTGTACTCCTAACCAGGGAAACCTTGGCTTGTACTACGGCACATGTAAGCCTTAGTGACACACATTTTCATACGGCGGACATATTTCTTCCTTGATCTACGGAGTTTCTTGAATATAATGAATATTTTATAAGTGTAATCAGCAGCAGTCTAGACGCCGACCTACTGTCGTCAGTTGATGGTGTGTCCTAAGTAACCTAGTTCATAATGCACATACTGCGCTAGTACTCACTGCCATATCGTTTTCTTGTAACAATTCCGAAACAGAAATTGAAATGTTAAACACTAAGCGAAGAAATGAAAACGTGCTATGAATTTTTGACACTACCTTGCCAGATGTACTGTTACCAGATATATTTTGATATTTAAAATCACTACATCCATATATTTCTGTGTCAGTAAGTGCAAATAAAGAAATTCCAGTAAGCAGGGTTACTTCTGTTTCGCTCTCTTGCTGGAAAGGTAGGCGTTTGAGGGTGTCTGCACCTGAAGTCCACATGCCTGTCCGACAGCCGAGGAGTTAAGATAGAGATGGTTGGTGGCTCCAGTAGCTACATGTTGACCAGGGGTCCACTGATCAGGACGAGGTACACACAGGGTTGTCAAGGTACCCAGCACAAATAACGCGGCTAACAGCTGTGGTACTTCAGAAGAAAAGTCTGCTGTCACACGCCCAGTTTTGAAATTTAATGAAGAATTACCTACAAGTAGGTCGAGACTTCGAAATTCTCCAGGAAGTGACGAGTAAAGACATCGTTCCTCTCTACAAAGGTAGATTCGGAATGTCAGAGAACCTTCCCCTGAAAAGATATAAATTATAAGTCAGTATTTGAGTAATGATGTGATTCAAATCAGAAAGATTTGTGAGCTATTGTGTGTTAGTGTGTTTACTTACATATATGGCCATATATGCCTTTCGCCTTAGTTTAACTTTCGCCGCTTTCGCAGTTTCATAAAAATAGACGAAAATCAAAAACAAAACAAAAAAATGTTGTGTTGTATGCTAATAGAGTAAGTAACACTGGGCGAAAATGAAATTCTTTTAAAACTTAAAAATGTCAAAATATTTTAAACAACTGGAAACATCTGTCCTAACAGGGACGTCATGTGAATTCAAATAATAAAACCGCTGAAATATCTGCAAGCCTTATTTCACAGGAGTCTTCCATGTAAATTTGAAATAAGACTTATCAAATGGGCTTTTAAAATGATAAATTGTATTTCTATTTTTCAGATTTGCATTCTATTCCCTTTCTTTTACATCTGGCCGAATTTTTTAAAAATATAATACTGGTTTTGATGTACACGAATTACTTGACACTAAACTTAAATCTCGACTGAAATTATTTTAATGTGATTATTTATAAATAAAAAAACGCATGTCATACACATTTGTATTGCCATACTGAAGAGGTAAACAAGCCGTTATACCTAGATTTGCAGTCATAGTTTCAAGCAACCAATATTATTTACCTCAGGAATCCATTTTAAGGTAATTGTTTTTCACTTCGAATACTTTGCTCAGATCTTTGTGCTATTTCTTATCTTTGAAAGTTATGAAGTGTAAGTGAAAATTGTTCGAGAAATAAGGAATGAAAATAGATCTGCTTCAAATGATAATAAATGCCATTAGATATACTGATTGGAAGAATTACAAAGAAACGAATTTGGTTTTAAACTTCATAGTTAAGGCTGTTGCCATCCAGTTAAGAAAATAAAAGTTAATGGAGAAATGTATCACTTACTTTTCAGCTGAGACTACTCAGTAAATACCCTTGAAAACGTATTTAATTGTCATGTAAGGAGTTGTTACCGAGAGTCTTCGTAACAACCTAGACGTAATTTCATTGGCCATTTTAATATAAATCCCAAAGCAACTGCCAATGGCATCCCATGTTCAGTGACATTTATTCCCTTAGTTTGAAACATGACCGGAACACGTGTTTCAAGACATTACACGAGGACACTTTCGAATATAGTGGTGATTGCTAATCATGTTTATACAACATCCTATTTCCTATAAATGTTGCAGCCCTCGAGGGATTTTGGTTTTCGCTATTGTAGGTAATGGAATCAAATTGCAAAAAATGGGTACTTTGTAATAAATCATGCTGTTGGATGTATTCGATAGGCATTATCCTTACCACAAACACAATTATCCACGTGAATTTTGAAAGTGTGAAAATATTTTAATAATACTAAAAACAGTATTATCAGATATTTGGTCACTCCTGGCGCATCGTTGACTCAATATGATGGTCATAACTTGCTTTGATGAGTTGTTGTAACTTCGTTTACAATCTTAAAGTGTTCACACGTCAATTTCAAACTTTGCTAATAGCTTAATTTGTGAACATTTAAACACATCATGCCCGCTTTAGGTGTTAAAAATTCTTTTAGCGATCTAAACCATTCCATTGAAACAAGATTCAAGATTTACGATAAACCCGTCTCCCGAAACAATTTATTATTAATGTAAATATATTGGAAACTTGTCACATTTGATAAAGGTTAATTTATCTGACTGTTATAGAAAAACAAATATAAACAGCAGGCTAAAAACTGACGGATTGTCACGACTACTGAAATTGCAAAAGACTGGTAACAAAAATGCAATGCCACATACTTTAATGAAGGTATAACAACACAAAATAAAACGAAAGTCACAACGACTCATCTTCCACAAAGGTGTGCAATACTACTGATGATTGATATTCACATAACCGCTGATGACTGTAGAATAATTGAGGAACAAAGATATACACAAATGGTACAGACGGACTACTAAATAGGAAAGAGTCGCACTGAATGTTGCTCTCTTACCGCGGGGGTTGGGAGTTTAGGAGTTGTCAAAATTATATCGTCATACATTTTTTGGTTAAACATTTTACCTTGGCATGTAACCTTGTGATGTACTCATCAACAATATGTTTATTTTATCTACGTAACAAGAAAAATAATTATGGTATTCGTTTGTAGACAACGTACTACCATATCGCGGTATCAGAAATATCTGTTAACTAGAAAGTGACAAGGTAGTCTGTTTGAAGAATAATAAACGTAGACCTATGTATCTCTATTTCACAATAATGCTTCAGGATGTCGATATCTCATTAATCTTAGCAACATGTGCGTCCATAAAAGGTTAGAAAGACAATTCACTTAACTTGGCTTTGTAGAGCTATTCATAAAATAAAGAAAATCCATTAAATGTGAATGCTTCATGCAACAGGCCAAGATTGCCAGATAATCTTTTTTTCAATACGGCCTGATATAAAAATCGAAATGTCTTTAAAACGACTTTTTTGTTATCTGTTGTAGTATCAAGTTGTAGTTTATTGTCAAGGAATGTTAGAGATCACAAGACTTATATTCAGCTCGGAGATATTAAGGTATATCAGAGAAGCCTGGAGTCTTTGAACTTGTGCACTGGTTTCCTAGAAAGCGTGCGAATGACTCTGATCGATATGCATGTACGTTGACCCTTTCTTTCGTTTCTACCTAGGGTTAAGAAATTATTAATGGCTGGTACTATATACGGGTTCCTGGCAAATGAAATATACGAAATGGTAACACAGAACCGTCAAATATGGCGGCAACACTTTAAACGTAAATCAATTAGCGGTGCTCACCATAGGCCTTGCCCTGAAGTGTTTCTGTGAGAGATGCTGATCACCGTTTCCAGTCTAGGTTAATAATTGACGGTTAACTAGACACCCTAGTGCGCCTACGTAAATTAGCCAGTAGTGATTCAGTAAATAACAGTAGTCAAGCGGCACTATCGTGATAAATATTCCTCAATGTTCCAAAATCGACCCAAAGGTTTCCAATATCCAATGTTAATAACTAATGAGGGAAGAACAGTGAAGAAGGGCAGAGAAGAAGGCTTCAGGAGAAAATCCTTCTTCATCATAATGATGATGTCTTGAATAAAATCTGAAACGAAATTTATCAATGAGTCATTCTCCCTACTTTCAGTGGTCACAAAAAGATATGAATTTAAAAATGCATAAAATACACCAACATTACCATGTTCATGCTACATTTTCATTCCGGTGTGATAAAAAGTACTGGATTCAGTCATATTCTTTTTGATTTTCCCGATTTACGTTTTGCATGATTTCCTGAAACTGATTCATTTGAACATTTATAAAAAATGAAAATAGCCAATATCTATTTCTGCAAAACAAATGTACATTCTTCTCTATGTGACAAATATGATTTTACCACAGCAAGTAGAAAATACCGATAAGCCAACAACTAGATTGTGATTTAAACTCAAACTTAACACTTGGGGTAGCAATTGTAATAAAAAGAAAGGTGCTTAGAAAATTGGAAAGACACGTGTTCCAAAGAGGTAAGAGTCTACTGCTTTATTGACATCAGTCATTCGAAACATTTCATCCTTCTAGGACTCGTTAATGATGATTAGGGCCAAAAGTCTAAAGTCTAGGAGACGACCGAATAAAATCAAAAGTGATCATGATTTAAGTCAAAATATAGATAGGGAGGTATGATAGCGCTATAAGTCAACAGATAATTCAATTTTGATATACAGTGTATCTGTTAACTTCAGATTGACGCCAATTACGAGTGTATATTCTAAATCGTGCCACTATTCGAATGAATTGAGACGTGACATGCTGGTTACAGCATACCTCGATGAATAAAAGTCCACCAGTAGTGTCTCCCACCCACCAAATATCTTGACGATTATGCAAAAGACACGAAAAAGTAATGTAATGATAAAATAAATAAAGAAATATTGCTTTATCATTTGAAACCTACGAACACCAAAACCATTCTAAGACATATTAAAAACCGAGTAAAAACATCAAAACCATCAAGCATAGTAACGAGCATCAAACTTGTCTAATTTCATTATTGCAGTAGGAACCATCCCCAACGGTACTCTTGCGAAATATTTATTTTACGTAGTAGAAGTTAAATCTCTATCGATGACACATATTCAGCAGTGGCCCATCTGCAACTGGTCAACTGTCAGCATGAACAAGGAAGTTGTAGGATATGAAATTAATGGGGGATTCGACTTGAGGGTAATCAGGTGTTATTATAAAGGACATATTGTCCAGTTCGTTAATTAATACCCAAAAGAATGGCAGTAGGTATCGTGTTATTGTACAGTTTCCTAAAGGAAACGTCCAGAGGGTATTACATTCAAATATGTACAGCGATCAAACAGCCATGTACGGAAATTCACACATGTTCCAGACACTTTCAAGATCATCAATCAAACAGACAACCTGGGAAACAAGACAAAGCCACTGTAATAAAGTCGATCATTTCCTTGATGCAGATTGAACAGGGGTTTTAATGGCATAATAAACAGTACCAGCTTTCAATTACTGTGCATAACAAATATATTTTTGTTCTATCCAATTTAAATGTTACTCTATATTTCAGAATTTCAATTTTAGATTTGAATAGATTGTTTTCGTATAGAGTTGCGGATATCGGCGGTGCATGATACATCGTCGTGAACTTTACATTGTGTCACATAAAGTACATTAAAGCAATCAGACATTACTAAAAGAGTTCTACATCCAAATACGGTCACTTTTACGCTGAAAGAGGTTCGGTGCTGACAATATAAATGGCATGTGAATGCAAGAGAGATGTGAAATTGTATGAGGTTTGACTCGAAAAGACGTGATAATTGATAAGCCAAAGATGTTTCTGAAATAAACCAAGCACCAAGTTTGTCATCCGTATATTGCAATTTGGAACTTTAAATTACCTAGAAAATTGCTTTGTGTTCTCTATTATGTAACAGCGGGAG